GGAAGCAATGGTGGGCTATGAGATGGGGGGCAGCATTGCAGTTGCTCCCTGATTTCGGTTGGCTGGAGCCTCCTCCCAGAGCATTCCTGGCTGGTTTGTTACGGTCACAAACCCTGTTGTGGGGACATGTGGCTGGCGCGAGGGGACGGGTTGCTTGTTCAACAGCAATACTGGACCTCAGCCCGAGTCAGATGTTCAGTTTGGAGAAGCCCCCAGAGCCTTCGGAACCCAGTTCTCCTTTAATACTGATTTGCCACCACTGCAACTCTGCTGACTTCCACAGCGTCCCTCACGTTTATTGGCTTGACCCAAAACTCCTTGCAGTCAGTGAGAGGCCTCCTGCTGACTGCAGCGGGCTTTGGATCAGGCCTGGACAATGGCGAGAGGGAGGGAGAGAAGAATCAGGCCCTTCTGAAGCTGAAGAATCAGGACCTGCACCTGTAGCTCCTGGGTGCAGTCTCGTTAATGTTAATGTTCCTTCCCACTTGCCAGAAACTGGGAGGTGCTGTGCACCCTCCTAACACCTATTGCTTAACTAGCTCTGTCCAGCCACAGAGCTCAGAGTGCTTGGCAAAGGAGGCAAGGATCAGTGTACCTATTTCGCAGACAAGATGCTGGGACTCACCCACCAGCTGAGCCAGAAAAGAAGCAAGGTTTGCTGAGCCCCAATGCGGTGTCCTGTCTGCTAGGCCACAGGCCTAACTCTAGTCACCCTTGCCTCCGGGCGAGTTGGGGGCACTCAGTGCCCTGCAGAATCAAGACCGGTGTGGAAGCGCTGCAGGAAGGAGCCCTCATGTGGGACTAAGCCCCTGAGAGCTGCTTTCCCTTGAGAGTGCCATGAGGCTGGAATTCTGTAAGAACAGCTTTGTTCCCTCTTCTGCCACTTCTCTCCTGGTCCTGGCCCGGAAGGTGGAAATGCAAGAGCCCAGCAGATGCACAAAGGAAAAATCACAACAGTGTCCACCAGTTGTGTGGTGTCATCACATTTTTGATGCTTTTCTTAAAGCCCCAGCTCCTGAAGTCATGTGCATATGTGAGAATCTTGGCTTTGGTTTAAAACAAAAGTAAGTTTCTGTCCCTCATGGTTGTGGAGCAAATATGAGCTCTAATGGCTCAAAACCCAAGAGGCAACTAAAAGGAACCCAAAAGGTATGATTTTTAAACCAAACTCATGATTTTGGGGGGTGCTGACTTGTGATTTTTGAACATTTGGGATTGGCAAATACTGCAACTGGGGGCAGAAAAATGTCACTGAGCTTTTTCCCACCTCCAGAAAGGCTCTTGGTGTACTGAGGTCTGGTTTGGGAAGAAGGCACAGGGTGGTTCAGAACCCCATTTCCCACCCCTACCATTCAACAGTGTCTCTCCACCTCTGAGGCTGGGCCTGAAAGCAGCAGACAAGGGAGAGGGGCCTTGACAATAGGCAGCAGGCAGCTGTTTGACCTTGAGGGGTTAACCCTCCCCAGCTCTCTTCTGTCGGCTTCTGCAAAGGATTGAAGCTGGGAGCTGGTGGGGAGGGGGATAGGAGAGGAAATTTCACACAATGACAAGCAGGCCCAGCAGTTAAATCTTGGGCTGACATGTTAATGAATTTCACAGTACGCCTGGAAAAACTCTCACCCAGCCTCAATTTCCCAGAGAAGCGGGGGAGGGAGAGGGCGCTGGGTTTCTCCGAAGGAAATCTTGTTCCCATTATCTTTTTGCGAGAGTGTTAAACAGGAACTGGCAGCACTTTTTCCTTTTTATCTCACACACGTGGATTTGGAATCCCCCCCCCCCCACCCTTTTGGGTTCCTGCGGCTAATAAAAAATAAAGGGTATGTGTGTGGTGTGGGGGGCGAGATCTGAAATAAAACGAGTTTAGCAGCTCTCTCCTCTGCTGCAGTCTGGCTAGCAGATTGGAGACCAGGCCCTTCCTCTCCACCACAGCACCCTGGCCACAGCTGGCACTGGTCATACTCCCTAATGGGCCTGGCACTGCACAACAACAGAAGGAGCTGTGCCGTTCCACCCCCACACCCCACAACCCAGTGCAAGGTGGGTGGTCCTTTTAAAGGGCCAGACTGGAGGGTGTTGGGGAAGGGGGCTGTGGGACAGGCCAGGAAGCAACAAACATAGAGACCTAATTCCCCTTACACTTCAGGGACCCAATCCTGCCCCCATAACAGCAGTAGCAAAACCCCTATTGCCTTTAATAGGGCAGAGCCTAAGGGAGTGGGGTGCTTCTGTGGCTTTTTTTCACATAAAAGGCTCTTCTGGACTTACGGTGACACAGATCTGGAGACCTGGCGAGGATGGTGTGTGCAGCCCAGGATGAATCCCACCCTGCCTGTGCCCCCAGGAGGGGCAGGGGGGAAGGCTTACAGCTCATGGCCACGGGGCAGATAGGCTGGTCAGAAAGGTGAGGCAAGCCTCTCAAAGTGAAAGCTGCCAGGGAAGGCTGCAGTTAGGCAATAAAATCTGGTCTCCATTCTCTGACACTGACTCACTGGGTGGCCTTGGGTAGGTCACTTATACCCAGAACCACAAAGTGCCTAACTCCACCAATTCCAATGGGAGTTAGGAGCCTAAATGCCTTTGAGGCACTGGGCTTTAGCCTCTCCATGCCACAGTTTCTGCATCTCTCAAATGGGGATAATAATAATGACCTTCTGGGGGGTTATGAGTCTCAAGTAATCAGCAATACAGGCCTGTGTGTAGCCCTCTGTAACAGGCAGGTCAGAGCCACAAGCCATGTGTGCAGGGGGCGCACAGGTGGGATGGCAAGTGGCTCAGTGACGGGGCCCGGTTCTCCCAATCTGTCCCAGAAGCACACTGTGTGCTGCCACTGGGGTGCTGGGTGCAAAGCAGATTCAGCCTTCTGTTCCGGGGTAGCTCTGTGCCAGGGGCAGCTGCCATCTGTTGGCAGCAAGGGGAGAGATGCTGTGGCAGCAGGATGGCAGGTGCCCAGCTGGCCTTTCCGCTGGGTGTCTCATTCTAACCATCCACTTTGCACTTGTCTGTGATTTATGGCAGAACTGGCCTCCTGCCCCTCTCTTCCACATGCCCCAGCTCCTCAGCAGCGACCTCCCCAGCACCCAGCCCAGCGGGGCACAGAGGATATTACACATCTGGAGAACACATGGAGGCAAGCTGCTTGTTCCCCTCCCCCGTCTCCTCAGCCATCCCACCAGCAGCGAAGCCATGAGCTAGTCGATGGGCAATGAGACAATAATCACGGCTCCTTGGAGGGAACTACACTAGACAACAGGCGCTGGGCAGCTGCCTTCTTCTGAACCCTCCTCCCCTCTGCCTGCTGCATAGTCCTTTGTCTGCCAGCACTGCCCTGCCCTCCCCTAGCTCCTCAGAAGCACTCTGGGTTGATTGTTCACCTCTTCCTCCCCCCCGCCGCGCAAGTGGAGACAAGTTCATGTGGGGAGCCTGTTTATGGGGGTGTGATGAGGGCCGGCACCCGTTCCTTCCACCCCGTGGAGGGGACCTGGGTGAGATCTGGCACCGCCGGGGAGGGGTTCCTCCCTCTCTCTTCTCTCTGGATTCAAGCTCCATTAGCCCAGGTTCATTGGAGAAAGGTGGGAGGGATGTGGGTAAAGGGTGAGGGGAGGCTGGGAAGAGTTAACTTGGTACGGGACACCAGAGATTTTAAGATTTTGGCTGGATCTCCATGGTGGTGGTGGTGATTTGTATTGTGGTAACACCCAGGAGCCCTAGTTTGTACTAGGCCCCCTTGTGCTAGGTGCTGAACGAACAAAAAGACAGTCCCTGCCTTGTATAAGAATACACCAAACTTTCAGAGGGAAGTCTAAGGCAGTCTAGACTGGTGTAGCCTGCAGTGCCTCCTGCCCCTCAGATTGGGCGTTGTACCAACCTAGATGCCTCCCGGCTCCCTGAGACCTCCTCTGCCCTTAGCATCAGATCTCGATCCTGCTCCGGCTGAAGTCCATGGCAAAGCTCCCATTGAGATTTGTGGTGCACACAGAGACGCCCCCTTCCCCCGTACCGCCCAGTGTTTCACTCCTCCTTCCCTCCTCTTTTCCCATCACTTCTGCACTTGGCCCACTGCGCCTAAGCAAGTCTCAGCCGATGGAGCTCAGATATGCTGGATGGAAGACCTGGAGCAACAAAAATAACTAACGGGAGGGTAGATGAATATCTGGATACTCCCGGCTGTAACTTACACCTCCTGATTTCTTGGTGTGTAAATTACATTGATTTAGACTCCCTGACACTGTGGTGAGTGGGTGTACAATATGTCCAGGGGAGTCTGCGTGTGACCTACAACACCTTACCTGCAATCCCCTCTGAGTGTGCGTCTGTTCTCTGCAGCGATGGGCCAAAGCCAAAGGTTCAGCGCCTCTCTCTGGTTTGCAAAATGGGAGGGAGGTCTCATGAGAACAGGCTTTCTCATGGGATTTCCGGCTTCTCCAGATTCTGTTCGCAGCTGTGGCTTGCAAGGGCATAGACAAGAGCAAAAGGAAAAATAGCGTGTGAGTGACGTAGCAGAAGTTTCCGAATGTTTGTTTCCAAGTTAGGGGTGAAGGCTCAGATTGATTTGATCTGAACTAGTTGTCCCAACCTTACTCATTGATCTGTAGCCAATCAACGTACCTCCATTCTGCTCCTGCCTGCATTGCACACGCAGAATGCGTAGGCGATGCAGGCACCGTGCTTTGGGCTCCTTGGCCCATTCAGTCCTTGGCCTCTCAGCTAAGACTGACCCCACTTATCTCACTGGGGGATTGCACCACCCGAGTACAAGAGCTTGAATCAGGCCTCCCTTTTGAGGCGTCTGTGGACATTCTGTGTTGGGTGGCTCACTCCGGCCTCCTCTGGCTTAGTGCCTTGAGTTGAAATTTTGCCAGTGGCTCTGAGTCTGCAGCCTGGCTGGGGCAATCCTCTGAGTGGATCTGGCCCTGGGGTTGGAGGCTGGGTGAGTGGGCTCTTCTCTGGCCCCTGAGCCCTTTTTTCACTTGCTCAGCCTCTTCTCCCCTCTCCTCCTGCAGCCTGCAACTGTAACCTGCATGCCCGGCGCTGCCGCTTCAACATGGAGCTGTACAAACTCTCAGGCAGGAAGAGCGGAGGTGTCTGCCTCAACTGTCGCCACAACACGGCCGGCCGGCACTGCCATTACTGCAAAGAGGGGTTCTACCGGGACATGAGCAAATCCATCACCGACCGCAAGGCCTGCAAAGGTAAGGGGAACTGTCAGCATGGGGGACCTGCTCCCCTCAGCCCTCCTCTCCCACTACGCCCTCTCTCCCAGCCCTTTTCTCCTCTGTTGGCTGCACCATTGCCCTCTCTAAGGGGGCATACCTACTTTTCTCTATTTAATTCCTTCTGAATGCAGCTGTTTGTCCTATATAGCCCCGTAAGTCCTGCTGCCCCTGCCTGGTTCTAAACTCCACTCACCAGGGCAGTCATCTCCCTCTGGCTGCAGGCTGAGGTCTCTGCTGCTTTCCCAATGAGCTGATGGAGCATGAGGGAGAGCAAAAGGGAGACAAATAATAGGTTGGGCTTGTCTTCCTCCCAGCATTTCACTGATGAGAGGTGTGAGTCTCAGCTGCCCAGGCAGCAAGGATGGAATCCATCTGTCCATCGGCTTAGTCTGTCTTTCTGATGTCTAATGCACCCATCCTTCATCTTGAAGGGTCCATTCATAGACACACATAGATATCTAAAGCCTTGTCTATATTAGAAAACTTGCACCAAGGTAACTAAATTCATTTAATATTGATCTAGTTACACCAGGGCAAACTGCTAATGTAGATGCACTTAAAAGGATGGAAATTACTTTCAACCTGATTTAGATTAATACCGTCAATTATCACATTCGTTTGAGTGCAACTGGAACTGATTTGGGTGTGTCTATTGTAGGGGGTTGCACTGGTATAACTAGATCCATTTTAGTTCCCCTGTTGCAAGTTTTCTAATGTAGATTGATTCTAGGACCTGGTACTTGAGGGGGGCTGTGCCCCACAGCTCCTGTTAACTGACATTGGAGTGCTCAGCACCACTGAAAATTGGATCAGATCTGCACTGGATTCTGCCCACTGTTGGACCTATCCTCCCCCTGGTTTTCGCTCTGCCTTAGGCAGAGCCCTACAGCCAGCTGTTGTCATTCAACGCCCCCCCCCCACAGCACACTTCCTCTGTGATGCAGCATGACCACAGTCGCCCCAAGGAAAGGAGCGCTTCATATAACAGAGCGAGTGACAGTTGTCATCACCTGGGCCATCGCTGAGAACGCTATTTACCTGGGATGAAATCCTGCCCCCTCTGATGTCAACGCGAGTTTGGCCATTGACTTCAATGGAGCCAGAATTTCTCCCCTGGACTGTGTCTATTGGAGACTGTGAGCTTCTTCAAGAAGGGAGTGGGGCTGTCTTGCTGGCATCAAGAAGACATCTTCTTTGCACAAGCTGGAGAGGCTGCTGGGAGCACACAGGCCTTGTCTTGTCTTTCTTTTCTGCTGTGGAACGCTCTTCCACCCACCACAGTGCGAGACAGTGGCCAGTACGCACTTGGAAGCTGGCTTTAGGGTTCTATCAGCTTCCGGTCATGCCAGTGGGAGCCTTTCCATTGGCTTGTTTGGGGCTGGGTTGGGCCAAGGGGATGGGTGGGTAAAATAAGTCTCTCCACCCCAGCCCCCAACAAATTTGTGCACCAATCTAGAGCCAACCTCCTCCTTCCCCCCAACAAGAACGGATCCTTTTTGAGGTCTGAGAAAACAGGCCCCTCATTATGGTTCATATATTGGTCCTCTGCCACCTTCTTTATGGGTTCTGGAAGCAGACACGCCCAGATACAGAGCCACAAACCAGGCTGGTTGCTCAGGATCTCAAGTCTTGTTTCCCATATGTGAGAGGTGCAGCATATTTAGAAAAGCTTTGGATAGGCATCCAAGCCAGCATGGCTCCAATGGTCTGAGGTTCACCCTACACAAACTAGTAGTTCCCATGCTGAAGAGAGGGAGCTGGGAGAAGCCAGTTCACCACCTCAAAGGACTCCAGCCTGGGAGGTTGGGAGCTTCTCTTCTCTCCAACCTTGATGCCTGTGCCAGATCATGGTGGGTGACCATCCATATTGGGAGGGACTTCAGTCCTCACCCAGTCTCATGGTGGGTGCATGCTGATGGGCCAGGCAGGTTTGGAGAGGGGATGCAGTGGATCATTTTTCTTATGGGTGTTGCAGGGTCAAAGGAGTGCCAGACCACAAAATGTTGCTTTTATGTAGGACCTACATATAAACAGTGACTGCTAAAGATTTTGGGGAGGAAGGGGCAGTTTTGCAGCAATAGAATAGGTTTAGAACATAGACATTTGGCCCCTGTTCTTTGGCAGATTAGAACAATTTGAAGGTAGGTAGCTGAGCATGTCGCTTTGTGCTGGGCAAATTGGTAGCCTCTTCATCATCCCTAGTGCATGACGTACAAAAATCCCACCCCGCCCTCAGGAAGTGGCACGAACGCGGACGCAAAGAGGAGAGAAAAGTCCCCGTTTTAACAAGTGCCTCATGAAGTGAAAAGCACCAGTGGCAGAAAGCGCCGCTGAGTCTGGCGCTGGCACAGAGAGCCGAGACCTGCTTGCAGCCAGGGCATTAAGAATCGAGAACGAATCGTTTTTAATAAGTGGAGCAGCTGAGTTGGCAGGCCCCCCGTGTATGTGTGCCTCACCTCGGCAATCAGCTCTCCCGTGGCTGGGGGATTTCACCCTTGCTCCAGACACCATTGGCCTTTCGGTGACTTGGCTTGGAAATGCTCCCCTTCCCCCCCCCGGCTGTGGGAGCCAAGTGGGGTATGGTTTATGTCGAGCACCTTGTGCCAGAAGGAAGTTGAGTGTCCTGCTGCGGCGATGGGAGGGAACGTGGCTCATCAGAGCAGGAGCAGTGCCCCAGTGGCTTGTGGTGCACCCCTACTCCGTGATGCTGCCAAGGGGCAATTTTCTTCCTCTGGGAGTACTGCAAGGGACTGAGAGAGATCTGCAGAACAGCTGAGTAGCTAACCCTGGTCTGATGCTCCTGGGCCATCAATGCCCTGCTATCCCAAGAGATGTGGTGTTGCCCAAGCCGGCTGCAGAATCAGGCTGTAGCTCTGAATCCAAACATGGGGCTGAAGGTGCAGGAGACTTGTCAGTCTTTGGGGTGGGTCTCAGGACCCATTTGGGTGACACCTTTCGTAAGAGAGGAACCCCTATGTCTGCTTTGTGGGGGATGGGATATATCCCCTTCTGTTGCCCCATTCTCCATTTCCCTCCTCCATCTGAGGGGCTTATGGAAGAGGGGTGGTTAGATCTCTGCTTTAGGGGCCTTGGCTCCCTGCTGCTCCCCTTCTGCCAACCCCTCTTCATATGGGTGGGGCAAGGGTCAGTCTTGGCTTGGAACATGCTAAGGGCAGTTGCATCTGACGGAGAGACTTGGGATGGAGCAGTGAGGGATGTAAAGGAGGAAAATGTTATCGGCAGAAAAGAAAGAGGAGGAGGAGTAAGGGAGGAGGGCAATGTGGACTATCTGGAAGGTGCACATTTCCAACCTCTATACATACAGTAGGGTTACCATTCGTCCGGATTCTGCCGGACATGTCCGGCTTTTTTGAGTTAAAAATAGCGTCCGGGGGGAATTCCTAAATGTCTGGATTTCCCCCCAACGCAGAGAGCGCGTGGCTGACAGGGCAGCCGGCCGGATCGTGCCACTTGCATGGGGCTCCGAGAGCCAGAGCCCCTCCTCTGCTTCCCCCTCCTCTTCCCTGCAGCTTGAAATCACTCCCCTCCTCTCGCTCTCTCCCTCCCCCTCCCTGCATTCGCAGATCGCCGGCCGGCCGTTCGCATCGGGCCTCCGGCAGTCTGGAGCTCCTCCCCCTGCTCCCCCCTCCCCTGCTGCCGAGCGCGCTGCTCTGCAGCACTCTGTTCTGAGCAGCACGGTAAGGGAGCCGGAGAAGGGGCAGGGAGGTTCTGGAGGGGACAGTCAAGAGACAGGGAGCAGGGTTGTATGGGTCGGGAGTTCGGGGGGGGCTGTCTGGGGGTTGAGGGGTGTAAGGTTTTGGGCAGTCAGGGTACCAGGTAGGGGGTAGGGTCCTGGGGGGCAGTTAGGGTGGGGGGATCTCAGGAGGGGGCAGTTAGGGGACAAGGAACAGGGAGGCTTAGGTAGGGGGTGGGGTTCTGGAGGGCAGTTAGGAGCAGGGGTCCCAGGAGGGGGCAGTCAGGGGACAGCGAGCAGAGGGGTTTAGATGGGTTGGGAGTTCTGGGGGGGGGGCTGTCAGGGGGTGGGGAGTGGTTGGATGGGGCGTGGGAGTCCCTGGTGTCTGTCTGGGGGTGGGGGTGTGGATAAGGGTTGGGGCAGTCAGGGGACAGGCAGGGGGTAGGGTCCTAGGGGGCCAGTTAGGATGGGGGGAAGGTCTCAGGAGGGGACAGTCAGGGGACAAGGAGCAGGGAGGCTTAGGTAGGGGGTGGAGTCCTGGGGGCCAGTTAGGGGCAGGGGTCCCAGGAGGGGGCAGTCAGGGGAGAAGGAGTGGGGGGGAGGGTTGGGGGTTCTGAGGAGGGCGGGAAGTGGGAGGGAGTGGAAGGGGCAGGGGCGGGGCTAGGGCAGGACAGGGGCGGGGCTAGGGCGGGACTCCTCCCGTCCTCTTTTTTGATTGTTGAAATATGGTAACCCTAACACACAGTCAGTGTCACCTGCCAGGGCCCTGCTGCCAGAGGTCTCCCGCCTGTGGTGGATGTGTGCATAGGATATACACGCCAGGGCACTGGTGCAGGATTCAAAGGCTGGTACTGCGAGTGGTGACGCCCGTGTCTGGATCTTGCTGCATGAGAGCTGGAATGAAAGGGACCCAGTGTCTCTTCCTCGTAGATTTTCATTCCAGTGTCTCCAGTTTTGGGATCTAAACCCAGGTTGCATTGTCTCTGTGGGAGCGTTCCTGCCATCTCCAGACACTGCTCATCCTGCCTCTGGGCTTGCTGCCCTATTGGTCAGGCCATATGGTTTCCCAGGAAACAGCTCTGAGTGCAAAGTATTCCCTAAATATTGCAACCCAGCACAAATGCAGAAGGGCAGGCAGCAGACTTGTCAGCCTGTGGTTTCTCGAGAAAGCCCTGAGTCATTTCCTCTGGGGGGTAGGGAGGGGATCTGCAGGAACCGTTGCTGCAACACAATCTCCCCAGCTCCTTCTGCCACTATTCTCTCCCCCTCCTCTCTCTCTCAC